CATTCCTTTATAAGGCAGATTTAGTCTTGAAATAAACATTAGAGTGTACCATCTGAGAATAATAGCCACAAATATTTTTGATTGCTGCAGCATGGGATAGGTTTCAGACATAAAGCATGCTTTACACCACAGCAATCATCAGAAAAATTGTCAGCTTTGGTCCAGCTGTAGAAAAATTGTGTGGCACTTTTCCAGTGCCAGAGCAGTAGAATTGGCCAGGACAGGTGGTATGAGCTAGTATTAGTGACAGACCAAGAGGGATGGGAAGAGATGGAAATAGTAGAGGCAAAAGGTGCTAATGGTGGTAGGCCAGGTAAGGTGCAAGAGCTGGTAATGGTGACAAGAGCTGGTAATGGTGACAGGAGCTGGAGAAAATGGCAGGGCAGGAGGAGGTGACAGGAGCTAGAAATAATGACAGACCAAGAGCGGTGGCAGGAGCTGGAAATTGGGGCAGATGCCATTTATTTTTTTCATCAAATGACACTGAAACTTTTAGTTGGTAGCATCAGCAGTGGAAGTTTGTAAACATTGCTAACCCAAAGATCATTCAGTTTTCTAAGGTGAGACAGTCCATGGTGTTAGGGAACAGGAGAATTTGCTTCTCAATAACTAAAGGTCCTGCTGTATTGCGGGATCTATCAGACTATCAGATAGCACACTCGGTGCAGGGTAAACCAGAAGCTTTAGCACATATTGTGCAAGCTCTTGCCAGCTTGGACACACAAAAGTCTATTGAATCCTCACTTCTAAAAATGTTCACAACTCCAACTAATCTGCAATCATTTTGCATATGCAGTATCTAACATTTGTCCTTTATTTATAGATAGCCTGTCAGTAGCATCCACTCCTAATGAAGTGAATGAATATTCACAAAATGCATTGAGACCGATGATGCATTTTTGCTTTTCTTTGTTTTACTTTCAATTTATTTGAAACCTAAACATAAGTGTTATTATAGTATATTTTGAACTTATTCAAGTGATTCTAAGGGGAATGACAACATAAAATTTGCGCTGTGTGTGAAAACTATTTTTATTTTTTGATACAATAAAATACTAATGCTATATACTATAGTTTTTACTGTATGTTGGATGTACTTCTCCAAAGTCTCATTGGCATCTTAAGAGTTTGGTTCAAAATGTGTGTGAACTTTTTCTGCTGAAGGGCAGTCAGCAGGTTGTCTCACACATTCCTGTCTAGCACTAAAGGGCATGGGATCAGAATCTCTGTCTAGTGTGACATCTGTCCTCCAAGCATATTAGCCACAGAACAATATAGCAGCATTTTGCCTGGGCCATAGCATAGGCTCTGGTGTACTTGGGGAGGCACTGATAATTCCTAAATAGGGATGAGCTTGGGTTCTCTCTGAATCTGGAAGTTAGCTGTATTGCAAAGCCAGCAAGCTGTGGATAAGATATTCCCCACCCTGCAGCTACATGTATAAAAGGAGTTAGGGATGCTTTTGATGTAATTGACCTGATATGGACCTTATGGCCATATTAGGTAAATGATGTCATGAGCATCTCTGCTCCTTTTTTACTTGTAGCTGCAGAGTGGAGAATATCTCACCCACAACTAATTGGCTCAGAAATAGTCAACTTCCAGGTTCATGACTCTGTTCAAAACTCTTTGGGCCAAAGGGGATGCAATGACGTGACCACTCCTTGCGGCTTCAGGCAATCTTGATACAGACTGAGTTTGGATCCAAATACAGTTTATCCCTAATCCTGGGAAGTCAGAACATGAGGCCATTGAAGGGAGGTAGGTAGTAGACATGTGTAGAATGAAAAAAATGTGTTTAGTTTTGGATAAATGTGTTATGTTACTGTCTTCCCCCTGTAAGCCCTGCTCATGGCTGATAACAGGTGCGTGTGCGAAAGCACGCATGCAGGTGCGCACAACTGGGCATGCATGACGGTGCATTGGTGCCAGGTGGGCTATTTAAGCTGTGCTAGTACCTTGTATCAGTCTACAACATTCTAGGAATCTGTGCATTCTGTTCCTGTGTTGATCTTTTGTTGCCGACCTGACCTGCTACTGACTACGCCTGAACGCTGCCTGTACCAACCCCTGGCTTGTCCTTTGACTATTCTTCTGCCTGCCATTTATACCTGATCTGCCTGCTAGTTGCCAACCTGGACTGTCTGAGCTTGCCTTTATCCTGCCTCCTGCACATGAGTCAGCTGAATCCTGCCGGTGTCTAGTTCCTGCATTTCTGCCAGTGTGCCATCTGTCAGCTTCTCCTGCACTTCTGCCAGAGTGCCATCTGCCAGCTGCTCCTGCACTTCTGCCAGCGTGCTATTTCCCAGCTGCTCCTGCATCCCAGATGCACCTCAGCATTCATCCTCATGAGTCTTATCAGGCACTCATGCCCCTCTGTCAGCTATGGATGGATTGCTGTGGTAGGAGGACATTATCTTTGTGCCTGAAGAACTCCATTTGGCGGTATGGAATTATGCCATGACTACCCATTAGCAGGTCACTTTGGGATCCATAAAACCACTGGCTTAATTCAACACTTATTCTGGTGGCCTGGTCTGGCAAAGGACTGTAAGACATATATTAGTTCCTATGTCAAGTGTACCTGTAACAAGAGCAGCAGGAACAAGGCATGGGGATTTCTCAGACCCCTTCTGATCTCTGATAGACCATGCAAGATGATTGCTATGGACTTTATCATGGAACTTTCACCTCCTGAAGGATACATTGCTATTTTTGTTATGGTCAATCGATTTTCCAAAATGATCCACTTTCTACCCATGAAGGGTACACTCTCTGCACTGGAAACAGCAAGGATCTTCTTTAAGGCGATAGTGCAACTTCATGGCACTCCTACTAATATCATCTTGGATTGGGGAGTCTAGTTCACATCCAGATTTTGGAGAGCACTCTGTGAGACCCTAAAAATTGAACTCTCGGTTTGATCTGTACAACACCCACAGACCAATGGGCAGACTGAGCGAACAAATAAAACCTTGGAACAGTATATTCACTGCTTTACATCTCAAGATGATTGGTTATCCTTATTGACTCTTGCCCAGTTTGCCTACAATAATGCCATACATTCGGCAACCATGCAATCCCCCTTTTTTGCAAATTACGGATTTCATTTGCTTCTATCCAATGAGCTACCAGAATCTGTAATTCCAGCTATCCAAGACAACCTGAATTTTTTCCAGCAGAATAATAAGATCTTGCAAAAAACTAGCTAAAGCACAAAAGGACAATAAAAGGGTTTTTTCAGACAATGAAAGGGTGAACTAATTCTGGAACCTTGAGAAGGGGTTTGGTTATTCACAGCTAATCTAAGGGTGGCATGCCCCATGAAGAAGTTGGGACCTAGGTTCGTGGGGCCTTTTCCTTTCAAGAAAATAATCAATAATGTCTCTTATGTACTTGTACTTCCAGAATCTTTAAAGGTTCATCCAGTGTTTCAATACTTGTATATATAAAAAACTCTCAGCGCAATAAACTTCCTATAAAACAAATTGTGCAGCTAGCATATAATGTGTTCCCACATGTAAACCGTAAATCAAATAAAAATGCAGCGCAGCAATATAAACTCAAATGGTGCTCATAATAAAAACATGCATAAATGAATAGTGAAATAGAAATAGTGTAGGTGACAATAAATATATGCTACATCCAATGTATTCTTAACGCATACACATACATCACCATAGACTTGCACATACGAGTGCTGAAATGAATGTGGATATAAAAACAAAATAAATTATATTTAATAGTGAACTGTTCCTTTTAAGTCTCAAAAATCTTCACGTGTGTTTGTGCGGTATGTCTCCTATATCTCGTGCTCCAAATGCACCAGCAACAAAAATCTCCAGAGAATGGTGAACTGTCCCTTTAAATCCGAAGTACTCCAAGTGGATCAGTGTAATTACACTACTGCATATACGTGTATGTCAGGGAATGGGCATACTTATGCGCAGGACCCCTGTAAGCCCTTTCCTGTGGCCGATTAGCAGGTGCGTGAGCGCGCAGACAGGTACACGCAAGTACGATGGTACATTGGCACCAGGCAGGATATTTAAGCTGTGCTAGTGGCTTATATCAGTGCTGTTTGCGCTAACACATTCTCATCATCAGTGCATTCTGTCCATGTATTGATCTTCCGTTGCCGACCTGACCTGCTAGTGACTATGCCTGAACAATTCCTGTACCAACCCTAGCTTGTCCTTTGACTATTCTTCTGCCTGCCATTTATGCCTAATCTGTCTGCTAGTTACCAACCCAGACTGTCTGACTTGCCTTTATCCTGTCTCCTGCACCTGAACGGCTGAACCCTGCCAGTATCCAGTTCCTGTTCTTCTGCCGGTGTGCCATTTGCCGGCTTCTCCTGTACTTCTGCCAGTGTGCCAGCTGCTCCTGCATCCCAGACACATAAGTCTTATCAGTCACTCATGCCTCTCTGTGCTCTGGAGTTCCCTGTGTTCATTGTGATTGATGTTGGATCTAATTCGGAGGACATTTTTTTTATTTTAAAAAAAGGACTTGTCAAAAACTGGTGTTGTTTTTTTTCACTTTTTTGGTGAATGATTAGGGGAACTATGTACCCTGTAATAATTTACATTGGGTTGTGGGATCTGGTGGCCCCCTTGTTAAAGGGGGCTTCCAGATTCAGATAAGCCCAGGGCTGTGGGAAAGATATCCTTGTCCCCATCAACATGGGTGCAAGGTGCTTTGTGGGGGTGCCCCCCTACACCTCCCCATGCTAAGGGGCATGTGACTTGGTGTGGTCTAGGAGGGGGCTCCCACTCATTTGCCCCCCCCTCCCTTTTCTGACCCGCCAGGCTACATGCTCAGATAAGGGTCTGGTAAGGATAAGGGGGATGGATTAATTTTTTTTTTTAAATTGTGGCATGGGTGTTCCCCTTAAAATCTATAGCAGACCCAAATGGCCTGGCATGGATAGTAGGGGGAAGAACCCATGCCGTTTTTTTTTTTCTTAATATTTCACTGACAGCTATTTTTTTTCTCATTCAGCTGTCAATAGGGAAACCACTGACAGCTGATGAGTCATTAGCAGGGGCAGACTGAAAACTCATGGGGCCCCCGGGCAATAGGGGATCATGGGACCCCTGTGTCCTTGCCCAAACTCAAAAAAGCCTATGAAAAAGGTACCAGGGGCATCTCATGGGGCCCGAGTTTACAAATGGTCAGTCTGCCCCTGGTCGCTGTTTTTTAAGGACGCAGTGGACGCTTTCCCAGCCCTCTTCTTACAAACAGCTATTCTGCACAGAGAATTAGGATCAGTCAATACATTTTTGACCGATTTGAATTTGAAATTTGTTAGAAAATGAATAAATGAAATTAATTTTTACAAAATTCCTTACTATTGATATTCGGAAATTCAGGAACATCTGAATCGCCAAATAACCAAAAATTTGAAATTAATTGCACATGTCTAGTGGGTAGAACTCCAGGAATGTGTCCTGCTCTGCATCCTACCCCCATGCCCATGCTTGCTGGACTAGGTGTCTGCCGATAACAGCATGATCTAAAAACAGGGACACATTACTTTTCACATGTTGGTGTAGAATAGGGATGGTCTTATTGGCAAAATAACTAGATATGATTAACTATATACCTTTACTGTGGTATAGCACAGGTGATAAACTTTTTTTTGCCAAGCTGATGTTAAGACTCTGAGCATGCTGACGACTTAGGGCCATTTTAATTCCAGCATCTGTGGAAGAAACATTAGGCAAGTATGCCGTTGGAGATGGTGGGGTAAGTGTTTCTGACTTTTGACTAGTGCAAACCTACCCTTGACCCTACCCAGTGTGGCCACATTCTAACCATTTTCCCCGCTGGATGTAGCATACTTTTGGGCCTGTTTGTAATGCTTAATGCAGATCCAGCCCCAAAGATGTAAATTGCTGCAGGTTGTCTGCATGTAAGTTGCTGAAGGTTGTCTGCATGCTGTTGAGATACACCTGAGAAAAATAAGTATCCAAGGAGAATAGAATAATGTAAGGGAAAGGGGGAAAAGTTCAGTGGGGTATGGGTTTGAGATTAAAGAGAAGACAAAAAGGTGTTGAAAACTAGCTGCCATACTGAGAGCAAAGTCATCCCCTAGTAATATGAAGCTCCCATGGTACCCACATTTTAGATGTGTGTATCCAATGTGTTTTTATATCTGGATTCCATCAGCTGGATCTCTTTAATCCTGTTGTATTGTTCCAATTTAGTGGGTGGGGAGATTCATTTCCAATTTAGGACTATATTGCTTCACTTTGTTGTCACTATGTGTGTGAAGGGTTTTCTTGGATGTTTGGGGATACTTTTCAGTGAGGTGCAAAAGATGTGAAACAGGGTCCCGAGGGGAGGTAGTTCCCAGCACATAAGAGATTAAAATGTTAACTGCTTTCCAATAGACGTGTGATTTGGTTCATTAGATTTCTTTTTTAGACGAAAATTTAATTTTCCAAGATTCAGATGCATCCAAATTTCTGAATAGATATAGAAAAGAATGGCAATTAATCTAAAAATAACAGATTCCTTTGATAATGATTAAAATTCATTGTGAATAGCTGTGGTTGTTAAGCAGCGGGCAGCTTCTGTGTTCTTAACAACCATGATTCATCTGCAGCACACAAATGCGCCTACTTGTCAGTGCATGCTGGATATTAGCCCAAGCTCTTCTTTGTGCTGGTACATGTGCATGCTGCACCAAAATGAGCATAGAATGAGCATTAGCTCTATTAGTTTTCGGACACATTAGCATTTTCCTGCTGATGGAGTGCTGATCGGGAAACTAACTGCTTTAAATTCATGACTGGAGAGAATTTTTAATAACTGGATAATTTAAGACAAATGTTTAGGCATTTTCCTATGGATCATCACATACAGTACATAATTATCCAGCTTTATCACAAAATTTCTCTCACTTGCAAGATCTGTGGACTTACTATCCTTGTTTGACATTATCTGTACAGCAGACATTAAACCTGAACACACGCTCTCAGATGAACATGCTACTCTTACAACTCCTCAAATTCTGAACCTTTACTTACACTGATACTTTTTTTTTATTAATTTGGCTTAACTTTGCCCTCTTTGTTCTGTTATTGATGTATATGCCATGAATGTCATCTATTGTTGCTGATTGTCAACTGTGTCTCACATGGACTTAGGGTTTTGTATATTTGAGGATTGTTGGTTGTACACATTAGGAAACAAAATAAAGCTTATTTTTAAAAATGTATATGAAATAGGGTATCCACATGTCTATTACCCTCCAACACATTTTTCTCAGGGATATATGAAGTATAGGATTTAGGGCATGTAATAGCAATGAAAAAGTATTGTTTTTGCATTTTCCTTGTAAATTGCATATGTGGGGCTTTTATTTTGCCTGGTTCCAGAGAGTTTTCCATAAAGAGATAAGTGGATTTCCTCCAATTTCTTCATATGTGGGGTGCTTAGGAAATTATTCTTCTGGTTGAACGTTATGATATGATGCTTCTAGGGACGGTTATTGGTCCTGTGACATTGAAAATAAGGTGCAAAGATCTTTGGCATCTGATTTTGCAGGATTGCACTAGTGAAAAACTGCTGGAGTATATTCAGGCAGCAGATACTTTAGTTGATCAGGGCAAATTTTCACTAATTACAGTCTTTTGTTCAGGCTTGTACTGAATTCGCTTTGCCTGCTACATCTCATGGCCATGATATTTTCACTCCTCCCTTTAATATGTTTTTTTGGTATGGTTGTTGGAAGATAGCTCAGGTTGTACTCAGCTTATTCATAACAGGTGCTGTTAGATTACTGATGCGCTTGCTGTAGTCAGACAAGGGATCCATAAAATAAACTTTCTGCTTCTGCTCCAAGCCTGTTCAGAGATACTATCCTCAGGTTCAGTTGATTAACACCAATTCAGATCTAACTCTAAACACCAAGAAACCCTTCCTTCATTACCCTTAGCAACCACAGCTTCTACTGTGTGTTCCTTACCTCCTGTATACCAGGACTGCACTCCCGCTACAGTTCTGTTACCCATGGCAATGTCTCAGACATCTTCCTCTGATTCTAACTTTTCCTCTATACTCCCCAGTATTTTTACTACTTTCCCATCAGCAGCATAATCTGCTCAGCACCATGCAATCACCTGTAGGACTCATATTAAATATGATCACTGGCTTGATTTCAAATAGATCTGGAAATACCACATCCCAAAAAAAATCATAGGAAACAAATCAAATGGACTTTTTAGGTGCCATAAAGAGTAGTACTCTAGGAGACCAATCTTAAAATTTGACAGGGAGAATCACTGATTACGTGAAATAGGGGAAGTGAGGCTCCCCAGCACATTTTAAGATTGGGGTCATAGCATATTACACCTAAAAAGTCACTTCGATTTATTTCCACATTTAACTGTAAACCTCTAAACCCCAAAAGAAAAAAGGTTTCCCTTTACACATACAATTTTGTCACTATCCATTGCTGCTGCTGCCCCAACTATTATTCATCCAGTTCCTGATTCCATTTTGCCTGCTGATGGGGTTAGGTCTACCTCCATGTTGCCTGCTGATGGAGTCCATTCTGTCTCTGTGCTGCCTGCTTATGGGGTCCAGTCCGCCGCTGTAATACCTGATAATAGGGTCCAGTCTGTCTCAATGCCTGGATGTTTTTTGCACACGTTTAAAAAAAATCATCGGAGGCCTGAAGGTTGGTTAAAACCCACACACATAAAAACAGGAGGACCTTGAGCTGAGTAAAGGAACACCTGGTTGTCAGCTGTAGAACTAGAAAGTAATGGAGATCTCTGGGTCTACTCTCCTTTTCTTCCTTCTTACTTCCTACTCTTTCTTTCTTATGCTTTTTCTTCTATTGTGTTGCCATAATGGGATATTGCCTTAGTGGCACTGATTATCAATGGGAAAAATTGGATGTTGACATGCTCTATATTTACAGAGGAGCCTCGATTTATACTTTATAACTCATTTGAGCTTCATTGTGTCTGGCTCCTTCTTTATTCTGTATGCAAAATGGTTATAACTTCTGTTTTCTATTAGTGTACAATATCCCAATATCCTAAAATTAATAACAAATTTTGAATACTGAGAAAACCCAAACATATATTTTCTGAAAGCAAATACCTTGGAAAAAAATGGTGGTAGTTCCTATTTTTTATGTCATGCAATATTTATGCCACTGTTTGTCAAGGGCAGAATTTCAGTAAAAATACACTAATGCTAATTTTAGAAACACAGACAAAATAGAGTAACCATTTTTTATTGTAAAATATTAAATATGGGATTGTGCCAAGTAAATAATGTAGGTACCCAACATATTAAGCTGTAATTGTGTTTGCACCTGGAAAATGACAACAAAGTTTGGTACCCTAAATTTAACATGGATGACATTTTAACCAGTTCCCTACAGCACGGTTGTCTGATTGTGGGACGACGCCTATGGACATCATTCTAGAACACGCCCCCTGAGCACCCCCAGCAGTGTGCACCTGGCTCCGCCGGTGATCGCTGTGTCCTACTGACACGGCTGATCACGGGATATGGTAAACAGCCAATCACGGCAGCCTTTTACCATGTGCTCAGCTGTGTCCAATGACAAAGCAGATCACCAGGTAAATACAGTTGCTGGTTATCAGCTGCACTTTCCTCACGCTGTGACAGCGTGAGGAAAGTACTGCCGATAACCGGAAATTGTCAGAGAAGTAATCAGTGCCCATCAGTGCCGCCCACCTATGCCACCCACTTGTGCCCAGCAGTGCAGCCCACTTGTACCCATCAGTGCCGCCCACCTGTGCCCTGCAGTGCCACCCACCTGTGCCCTGCAGTGCCACCCATCAGTGAAACCCACCGGTGCCCATCAGTGCTGCCAGCAGTGCTGCCTATCAGTGCAGCATCATCAGTGCCACCTCATCAGTGCCAATCAGTGCTGCCTATCAGTGCAGCCTCATCAACGCACATCAGTGAAGGAGAAAAATTACTTGTTTGCAAAATTTTATACGAGAAACAAAGTTTCTCGTATAAAAACTTTTTGAACTTGAACTTTTTTTTCAAATTT